TAATAATAATAATAATAATAATAATAATAATAATAATAATAATAATAGCATGGCACTTTAAGGTTTTCGAGGTACTTTACACGTGTTATCTCACTTGGTCCTCGCTCACCTAGTCAAGGGTTTGATGGTTGGATAATTCCATCCCTCAGAAGGTGGAGGATGAGATAGTTGATGAAATAGAAGGGATAAGAACCTTGGGAGCATGTGGACCCTCTGAGTTCATGATAGAAGTGAAGGGGAAAACCAGGCACTACCTGCTATGTCCCCTAGATCCTGGCAGAGGCTGTTTAAAGAGTTTGGAGGAAAGATATTTAGGCTCCAGTGGCCTAATATTTCACGGGAGACCACAAGAGGGAGAGTTCTGAAGACGTGAGCAGAAAGAATTCTGATGAAGAAAAGGGGCCGGGGCCTAAGGAGGATTTACGGGGTGCATGTCCAGGGACCTCCTCCGCTAATTCAAGCTTTAGAAAGACATATAGAGAGGATGGCAGCAAGGGCATCCGTCCTAGGATGGATCGAGTGCCAGATGGGCTGGGTCTGGCCGACAGAGAAGACAAAGGGCCGTTTGAGCAACGTTGGGGACCAGATGTGCTCCGAGGGTGGGGCCGAAGCCCAGGCCGGATGGGATGCTGAGGGACTGCGGGAGGAGCGTGAGATGCTCAGCTCTGATTTTGCTTGCATTTTCTCTTTCGAGGAAAATGACCTCCAGACTGAGAGGCATAGAGCAAAGCGGTCACCAGGGGCTTAAATGAGGGGGCAGGAAGGGAGTGGCTGGCTGCCCTTAAGGAGTTTGTAACCAGGCATAGAGTAATTCTATCCCAAGGTACTGAAAGAGCTGACAGGTTTAACAACAGTTAGAACTAAATAGTACTTTAAGGTTTGCAAAGTAAAAACATATGTTATCTCATTTTATCCTCACAACCACCTGGGAGGGGGGTGCTGTTATCCCCATTTTACAGATGAAGAAACTGAGGCAAACAGAGGTGAAGTGACTTGCTCAAGGTCACCCAGCTAGGAAGTGTCTGAGGCTGGATTTGAACTCAGGGTTTCCTGACTCCCAAGGGCAGTACTTTGTCTCTCCTGCCTCTTAACTTCAGTGCCTCTAATTTTCAATTGGTGAATGAAGTTAGCAGCCTTCAAAAGACCATGGAACTTAGGCCTGGAAATGGGCAAATGTCTCAATTTTCCTAAAAGGGAGGATGGAGTCTTGTTGCAATTCTGGAGCATTTAATCCAAGGGATGGTTCATGAGCACTTGGAAAGGGAAGGTGTCACGACTGCACGGCTTGGCCACAGCCGACAAAGCCTGTTTGCGCTTCTAGGCAAGGCAGGGAAATTAGCTGCTTAAATCAGGGGAATGCCAGGTGTGGCCCAGGCCTGAGCAGGCCACTCCCCTGCCCAAGAAACATCATCGACTCCCTACGGCTCTAGTCGACTCTTCCAGACAAACTGCCCTACTAGAGGCATCTGATGGCCTGGAGTCAGGAAGACCTGAGTTCAAATACAGTTTTCTTTTTGTCTGTTGTCTTCCTGTTAGATTGTAATCTCCTTGAGGTCAGGGACTGTCCTTTTTTAAAAAACAAATTTGTATCCCCAGTGCTTAGCATAATACCTGGCACACAGTAGGCTCTTAATAAATGTTTATTGACCAGCTGACTGATGCCTATGGTACAAGGTAGAGGTGTCCAGTAGTCAGTCAATAAACACTAAATGGTGATGAGATGAGCTCAGGAGAGGGAGAAAGGCTGGACTGTGTACATTTGGGAATCACAGTTATCAAAAAAGTGTCATCGTCATCACTGGGCCCAGTGTTCTACCGGTTCTACTTCTCTCTACAACAGTTCATACAAGCATTTCCCTGTTTTTCTGAAATTTTTATTCATTATTTCATTACTCATATCCATTATATCAACAGGTCATCATTTGTTTGGCAATTTCCCTGCTATGATTTTTTCTATTACAATAATTAGTACTACAAATTATTTTGGAAACTTTCAGTCTTTGAACTTGGGCTATATGCTCTGGGACCCATATTTGATGAAGAATATAGAAAAGCTCAAGCATATGTAGATGAAGGTGCTCAGGACGGTAAGAAGACTGGAGAATGTGCCTTATGAGGACCAGCTGAAGGAACAGAAAGTGGATTTGGAATGGGAACACACTTGCTGTGTTTAAACATTTGAAGGACCTCCTAGGGAAAAGGGCTGAGACTTGTCCTTCTTGCCCTCTGGAGGCAGAGCTCTATTGATGAGTAGGTATGGTCAAAGAGAAGCTTCTGAAGCAGATTTTTATTGCATTATCCTTATCCAGTGGGTGAGTAGATTGGGTATCTATGTTCAATGCTTCTGAGATGATGGCCCACTGGATAGGAATGAGGTTGCTGATGCGGTTCATTGGAACCGTCTTCTCCCCATGTCAAATACCACCAGATTCCATGAGTTAATCCCATTTCCCACTCTGTGGAAGTTCCCTGGGTTGATATAAAATGACTGACTTGTCAATAGGCAAACACTGACAAAGAACCCTAGCTGGGGGTGATCAGTGGCTGAACTAACACTGTCTCCTCTTCCAGTCATGTCTGTCCAGCTGTTTGAGGGGAAAGACCATGCAGCCATTTATCAGAAATACAGGTTCCCTCCATCCCCGGATCTTCTTAACATCATCTTCTCCTATTTAGAAGAAAAGGTAAGAAGCTTTAGGTGTGATGTACAGTTGTTACAATCATCTATGGAATAAGAAAAATGCTTTGGGGATATGGGCAAGGTGGAGAACCCAGTTTAAAGAGGAAAGAATTTTTGTTCCCTTTCTTGTGAGGGGGTAACAGCTGTGCTCATCTGGTCAAATGCCACCCCCACCTTTCCTTGTCCTTGGCTTTCGCTCATAATCACCACTGACAGTATTTGCTAAGCACAATCCTCACAACAGCCTTGTCAAGGAGATGCTACACATATCATTATCTGCATTTTGGGGGTCAACAAACTGAGGCCCACCAGGATTCAAACCCAGTTCTGTCCTGGGTTAGGCAGTTGGGTGGCACAGTGGGTAGAATGTTGGGCCTGGAGTCGGGAAGATCTGAACTCAAATTCAGCCTCAGACACTTCCTGACTGGGAATAGCTTTATTCCCTGCAAGTCACTTAATCTCTGTTTGCCTCAGTTTCTTCAACTGTAAAATGGGGATAATAGCACCCGTCTCGCAGGGTTGTTGCGAAGATCATATGAGATACTATTTGTAGAGCACTTAGCACAGTGCTGGGCCCACGGCAGGCGCTGTATAAATGCTTCTTCCTCCCCCCTCCCGATTCCAGGCCAAGCACTATTTCCACCGCGCCAAGGCTGACCTTTTCATCCCTTTGCTGTTCCCTCACTGGGCCCTTTGGATGGGCCAGTGCTCGGACCCTAATTCCACATCGCTTTCATCTTAGAGCCATGAGTCAACAGGCATCCATTAAGTGCTGACTATGTGCCCGATGCGGTGCTAAGTGCTGGGGGTTCAGAGAAAGGCCTAAGCGTGGCCCCTGCCCTCAGGGAGCTTCTCTTCTGGTGAGGGAGACAAGAGGCAACAAGTCCATATCTACAGGATGTCTAGAGGACGGGTGGAAGGGGATGGCAGAGGGAAGCCGTTAGCCCTCACTCTCTTCCCTCTCGTTGCACCCTTAATCCTCTTTCCGCCATGATGCCCCTTCCCTCGGGCCTCTTCACTGGTCCCTCTAACTGTGAGGCTCCGGCGGGGACTCACGCTCTCTCTTTCCTTAGAAGGGCAAACCCTACGACCTAGCGGTGGATGTTGGCTGTGGATCAGGCCAAAGCACATGGCTGCTGGTCCCTCACTTTGCCAGGGTCCTGGGGACAGATATCAGTGAAGCTCAGATTGAACAGGCCAAGCGAATACCCAGCCCCTCCCATGTTTCTTACTGGTAAGTTTGTCTGAAAATATCTGCTGAAACCCAAGGGACCTTGGGGGTCGTAGTCCAATATCTTCAATCTGCAGATAAAGAAACTGAAACGCACCCACCTTTTCTGTCTCTGGGCCAGCGCAAAGAAGGGTTTACCCTTCTGTATTCCTTTAGGAAGTGAGAAGAAGCTTCTCAATTGGAGTGATGGAATTATAGGAAAATCGGTCAATAGATATTTATTAAGCACCTACTGTGTGCCAGGCACTGGCACAGGGATACAGAGAAAGGCAAAAGACAGTCCCTGCCCTCAAGGAGCGCAGAGTCTGAAGGAGGTAACAATATGCAAACAACTATTTACAAACAAGCTATAGACAGGACAAACAAGAAATAATTAACAAAGGCATTAGAATCAGGGGGGATTGAGAGGCTTCCTATAGAAGGTAGGATTTTAGCTGGGACTTGAAGGAAACCAGGGAAGCCCAGAGGCAGAGATGAGGCTGGAGAATGTTGCCAACCTGGCGGGCAGCCAGTCCAAATGCCCAGAGGTGGGAAATGAGCAACAGCCAGGAGGTCAGTGGAGTATGCAGGTGTGATCAAGCCCTAACCTTTCTTGCACTTGCATATAGACTTGATGGAGGCTTTCCTGTCTTTCTCCCACTCCCCATCAGGATGGAAACTTGATATCAGGAACTATCATTTGTACTTCCATATTCCCAGTTTCTGGGATGAGAACTTGTATACAGTAAGTGCTCGATTCATGTCTAATTGAGTGGAAACATTTAGGCCATCTCCCTCATTCTAGAAATGAGAACCCCACTACCCGCCCAGAGAAGCTGGTTGGCCCAAGATCACAAAGCTAGTCTCTCTGCAAGGATTGCACCTGTATCCACAACTCCAAACCCAGCCATGCTTTGTTCACTTTAAAGCTGTATTTTGCACCTACCATATACACGTGAGGGACTGTGTTAGAGGCTCATTGTCATGGTTACCATGCCCTCCACCATTCACCTACCCCACACCCACTGTTCAAAACTGGCAAAGAGGAGTGAAGAAACTTGGGACCACAGGATAGCTGAAGGACGCTTTTCAGATAAGATGTCAAAACCATCTTGTGACCTGGGTTGCCCAAGTCCTTCGTATACCCATTTTACAGATGAGGAAACTGAGACTAAGTGACCTGCTAAGGTCTAACTACTGATAAGTGGCAGAATTAGAATGAAAACTCAGGGTTTTTTTTGACTCTTAAGTTCAGTGCTCCGGCACTTCTAGTGAGAAGGTGCCACCCTCTGAAACTGGGTTGATAGATTGGGAAATGACTGCCGACGCGTGTGTGACAGACGGACGGAGACAGAGAGACCGGGACAGAGTCTGGACCTGTCGCCCTCTGGGTCTGTGGTGGTCACTGGCCTTGTCCTCCCCCACCCCTGCAGTGTCTTCCCAGCAGAAGCCCTCCCGGTGGAGGATGGCTCCGTGGACCTGCTCACCGCCTTCGCAGCGGCGCACTGGTTTGACATACAGCCCTTCATGAGAGAGCTAGAGCGAGTTCTGAAGCCCGGGGGCTCTGTGAGCCTCAGTTCCTACACCCTCAACATGAAGATTCGTTATGGGGACTGCTCTGAGGCGCTCTCTGAGCTCTTCAGGGAGGTGGGTACCACGGACAGGTGACTGGGCCTGGGATTCATTGACAGGAAGAGAAAGTCCCTCCACCAGTGTAGGTGGCACTTTCTGCAACTCGGTCTTGGAAAAGAGCCTTGGAAGCTGAAATGGCTTGGCCGGCCGGGGTCCCCCAGTCAGGCTGCCAGAGGCGGGACCCAGGCCTTCCTGGCTCCCAGACCAGCTCTCCCTCTCTTCCTCTCTGCTGCTGCCTCTACTCGACCATGCTGTGGTCACGAAGTCTGCTGGAAAGGAATAGATTCCTAGGTGCCAGGATAGCTAGCCACACGTTGGGACGGAATGGGGGTCTGGGGTGTGGCCCCTTCAAGGCAGGCCCTGAAGTACCTTGATTTGGCCTCGGGCTGCCCTTCCTCAAAAGAGATTGCAGCAGATTTAGCTTCCGAAATCTTTTGCACAAACTGATGATGACAAGGGTTGGGGAGGTTGGCCCCTCCCCGCGGCGGAGCAGTTTGTGGGGCTGGGAAATGGGCTTGGGACCTTTGCCAAACATCCACTTAGCGTGTTTCACTTTCCAGCTAGAGTTCAACATGAAGTTCACCATCTGTTTATTTGTAGGGTTGGGTGCTTTGGGCCAGTGAAGGTATTTCCAGGAGAGGCCACGGGGTTGTGTGGGTGCTCACTCACGCTTTCCCTTCCCTATGAATGGGCCGCGTGAAGGGCGTGCATAAGGATGTGGGGAGCACACAAGTCCTGGAGAGCTCCACCCTTTGCCAGGTTCTCCTTCTACCATCAGCTGGAAACTCTCCCCTTGGGGCCACAAGCGCTGTGTAGTGAGTTGTTGGGAGCAGCTTCCCTCCCATCCCCACCCCCACCCCCACCCCCATGGTGCTAGGGGCTCATGTAGGGGATCCCAGGAACTTCTCTGCCAAAGGCCACCATCTACAGCGGGGGTACTGGAACCTTTTTGGACCGGGGATCCCTCGGTCATCTGATGAAGCCTCCTGATGCCAACACAGAATAATGTGGTTAAAAAAAAAATCATAAGTGAAAGAAATGCTAAATTTCAGTTAGAAGTTAGTGAAAAAAAGATGTAATTTTTTTCCCATCTAAGTTCACAGACCCCCTAAAATCTATCCAGTTAACCCCTGGCCTAGCAGGATGAATTGAAGATGAATGGGTGATGGCTGGAGGATAAAATTAAGGGATGAGAGAGGATTATACTGTGAGAAGGAGAAAGGGAGAGGTAGAATAGGGTAAATTATCTCACATAAAACAGACAAGAAACAGGGGAAGGTGAGAGGGAATGAGTGAATCCTATTCTCATCAGATTTGGCTTAAGGAGGGAATAACATACACACTCAATTGGGTACGGAAATCTATTTTACCCTACAGGAAAATAGGGGGTAAGGAGTTAAGAGAGAAGGGGAAGGGGTATTCAGAATGCTGGCTGTCTTGGGTTTGGGGGAGGGATGAGATGGGAAGAAAATTTGGAACTCAAAATTTTGTGGAAAACTAAAAATAAATTAATTAATGAATGAATCGGACAAAAAAAGAAAAAAAGAACCCCTGACCTGTGGTGACCTGCCACACCAATAGCTTTGCTTCCACATATAGAATTATTGAGGCCTCTAGATCATAGGATGGCATGTGCGTTGGACCTGGAGTCAAGAAGACTCGTGTACAAATTCTATCTCAGACACGTAATAGTTACGTGACATTTAACCTGTGCCTCTATTTATCCATTTGTAAAAGGGGTACAACAATAACACCGACCTCATGGAGCTGAGATACTCAAATGAATAATGTATAAAACTCTTTACATACCTTAAAGTCATGTGTAAATGTTGGTTATGATAATAATGAGCATTAATTATTATAACTATGCTCTGATTTCTTTATTCCCTTTAAAAGAAAGATGAATGTCACTGTCAGGCTGATGGGTGCTTTGTCTCTTACCTGTCCATAGACTCTACTTAGGCATTCCCTTCAGTGGTTTGTGATGTGGCCCCTATGGGTCCTCCATTCACTGACACAGATCGCGATCCCTCTGATTTCTTTACAGAGGCAGCTTGGGGGAGAGGTTAGAGCTCTAGTCTAGGGAGTCAGCAGGATGTGAGTTTGAATCCAGCCTCAGACACTTACTCGTTGTGTGACCCTGGTCAAGTCACTTCTGCCTGCCTCAGTTTTCTGGCTTTTTCAGACCACTGGCTGTCTCTCCCTGCAAAACTGCCACATTCTCATTGGCCTTCTATTTGGTCCAGACAACCCAGAAGACAAGGCACTACTTCTAAGAACCCCTGCAGGGAATGAACCGCAATTCTTCCTTTCTTCCTGTCTTAATGGAGTTTTCTCGTTGCAGACTCAAGCTGTCCTTAAAAAGCATGCAAATGAAAAATTGCATGTCCTCTTCTCTGAGTACCAAGAGATACTTGATCTTATGCCTTTTCCGGACAAAAAAAGGTGAGAAACAACTCATTGCCAAAGATCTTTCTCATATGAGGTATTCCAAAAGTCTTCGTGAAGCTTTAAGTTTTAAAGCTTTAATAGCTATAAGTTCTAATAGTTTAAAACTTCATGAAGACTTTTGGGACACCTTGTACAGAATTATGGGAAAATACTAAAGATCTTAAAGTGCCAAAAAAAAAAATATTGCACTGCTGGAAGGAGCCCTCGAAGAGACTTCCCAATCTCTTGCTTATCTAAATCCTTCCTGACTCTCTATTTTTAAACCTCTTTGGGAAAACTTGAATCCAAATCCCACCTGGGATAGAGTAGTGAACTTTCTGCTCAGAAGCTGTCATCCCCACCTTCCAACAGAGTATCTATTGGGCTGTACCATTAAAAGAGAATTCTAGAACTAGACAACCTCTCTTCTAGTCTCATCCCCTCCTTTTATGGATGAGCCCAGAGAGGGAGTGTCACACAGCTGGTATTAGAATCATTTTGGAGAAGAATGAGTTATTTTTCTACCCAGAAGGAATCAGACATCTGCGTCATTTCCTCAGGATACATATTACAAAAGCTTTTTGGTATGTTGTGAATGGGATTTTAATAGCACCTGCAGAAGCAGCAGGTGCTGCTTTTGGAGCTGGGAAGACCTAGGTCCGAATCTCATATCAGCTGATTAGCCAAGTGACCCTATTCACATCATTCCTCTAGGGCTGAAAAGGCCCTCAGAGCCCATCTCATCCAACTGTTTCACTGGACAGATGTAAAAGCTTATGCCAGGAGAGGTGGTGACCTGTCCTACCTGTCAAACAGGTAGCAAACATCAGAGGCAGGATTTGAACCCACATCCTCTAACTTGAGCTAGGGCTCTTTTATTTCTTCTCTCTGAGGTTCAGTTTCCTCATCTGTAAAATGGGGTTAATAATATCTCCAATGGAGATATAATAATATCTCCAGTAATCTACCTCATAGGATGGTTGTGAGGTCAAAGGGAATGGTGGGTGGTAAAGCGTGTTGAAAGCCTTAGAAATGTTATAATGTGAAGATCTGGGGCCTTGTGTTTATTATTCCACAAAAAACAGAGACTTAGCTTGATTAATTGCTTCCTCCATTACAGAATTATTTTTCAGGTAAATGAAACTTCCTTTACGGTCGCTGGCCTGATGGGATTTCTGCAGTCCCTTTCCATGTTCCAGATGTTTAAGAATGCCCAGCCAGAGGCAGCTGAAGCCTTTTTGCAGCAGACTCAATCGAGGTAAGAATCAGGTGGGGCACAGGACACCTCAGGGTGTCACTTTACATCAGACCTTGAGAGCAGAATTGAGTCTCTATTCAGAGAACACAAAGGTGCTGGCTTCAGCAGTGCCTTGTGTGATTGGAACTGGCCTGGTTCATCTCTGATTCCAGGTTTTCCTTTCCCTTAGAGTCAGTCCTCAGTCATTTTCTTCTCTCACCCAACTTGTGATCTCTCTTCTGGGTTCCAAACTCATATTTCCACTTGGCTGTCTCACTATTATCACAAACTCAATATATCTACATAGAACTTGGGACACCTCTCCTCTTGTGTTTGGGACTCCCAACAAAGCTATCTAAGGTTTAAGGGAATCTTTGGGTCTGAATCCACCTGAAAAAGGTATGGCTTATGAGCCCCCACCAATGTGTTTGCTTTTACTTGTCAGCCAGGGGACACAATTAGTTCAAAGCAAAGGGTATTAATGAAACGGCATTGTAAGAAATGCAGCATTAGAACATTCTTCCCCCTATAAAACTGAGGCACACACTCCCACAGATTCCTACGCCATCAAAGGAAAGGCATGCTTGTGGGGAACACATGTGGCCAAGAAGCATATGCAGAGAGGTAAAGCATATTTCTGACAATGATGCAGGATTGCCAGTGTCTTATGGAAATGTTACTATTCTGTTCATGTTAGGTGTGTTTCCTGCTAGTCTTGTGTGGTATATATTCTCTGCTATGTGTTGTTCTACCAATCTCATGTCCATTGCTAGGTATTGATTTACTAAGCCTGTTGTTCTAGAGTAGACATTCTTGACCTTTTTTTGTGACATGGACTCCTTGACTGGCAGTTTGGGGGACTTTATAGACCCCTCCTCAGAATCATATTTTTAAATAATTGGAGGAAATGCTAAATTCCAGTTAGAGGTTAACGAAATTAAAGATATAATTTTTTTCCCTATCCAAGTTCAAAGATTCCTTGAAATCTATTTGTGGACTCCAGGTTAAGAATCCCTGTTCTAGGGCTTTTTATGGCTAATTCTACCATATTTGTATTATCTTAGAGCCAGGGTTTTAGCTTTGGTTTTTATTCATCTATCGATTAGCTTATTTTAGTGAGGGGCAAGCTGTTCACATACCTTGTTTCAGACCATAATTGCTTTCTCTCCATAAAAAAAAAGAGCTGATAATTCTCAGAGTCTACTATAGCTTTAAGTAGTTCTTTTCTCCAAAAGAATCTTTAACTCCACATACCAGTTTCTGTTTGGAACAGTCAGCTAAGTAGAGGCCACAGGCATTTAATTTGTCCTTGAAGCTACTGGGGCTGAATGGTAGTTTCCTCCCCCCCCCCCCGCCCCCGCCGGAGAAATGTCTGATTTAGAGTTAGAAATTCCTTTCAACTCATACATTGCCCTTTACCTCAATTCACTGTTTCAAATTCCTGCCTTGAGTAAGCATAGATTTGCTATGCCTTCTAGCCTTTTGAGTCACCCTACATCTAAAACTGAGCCTCTCCCCTTTAACTCTTCCTTCCAATTCCTTCCATCCCTCACTCCGCTATAATCAACAGGTTCTACCTGCTGCTTACTTTCCCATGTTACCTCCCTTCCATTGCCACTCCTCCCACAAGTCTTTGTTCCGGGACTATTGAAAGAGCCTCAGAATGAGTCTCTTGCTTTTATTCTCTTTCCTTCCAATCTATTCTGCCCACTGCTGCCAGATTAATTCCCCAACATCCCCATTTTGCTCGTTCGTGCCTTTCTCATAAACCTTCCATGACCATTGATGTGGAAGAAGGCCAAATGTGGTTCGACCTGGCACCAACCTATCCCTCCAACTTATCTCTGCTACCCCCAGACCTCTTGTGGCCAAACCAGTCTATATGATTTCCCTAACCATGTACAGGCACAGTGGATAGAGCACTGGGAAGAATGCACGGAGAGGAGTTACATATAAAGAGACAGAAAAGACTGGGAGCAGTCAGGTTGTGAAAAGCTTTAAATGTCAAACAAGTTCCTATTTGATCCTAGATGTGATAGGGAGTCATGAGTCTGGGAGGGTAGAAAGGTAGCAGAAGTGACCTTGGGGAGGCACTTTGGGGAGAGGCTCTATTCTCGGCTCTCTGTTGTGGGGGTAGAGGCTGGGGGTGGGAGGAGGCAAGTTTGCCAAGGCATATTTATAGCCAAAGAGGCAGGCCTGGGAGGAGGAGGAAGAGGAGGAAGGAGGTAGGGTCGAGGAGAGGACAGGATCATCTTCTTTCTGCTGAAGGCAGGGGCTGTAGCATAAGATGTTCCAGGATCGTCTTACGTTAGGATAACTCAGAATTCAGTGTTCAGACTCCTATCCCTCATCCCTCTATTACATTTCACTTTGGTTATTGAAAGGTGCCCAACAAAATACCCAATGACAACAACTCTACCCCTATGCTTGTTTCTACAGATTCTTGGAGACCATGAAGGTATCTTCTCCTGAAACTCCGTTAGAGATAACACTTGAATATATTTGCGTTTTGGCTTGTAAGACCCCAAAGGAGAAGGTGGCAACTTAGTTTCCAAATGAACCAAACTCCTAACCTTGGACCCAGTTCCAAATCCAATAAAGAGGCATAGGATCTCAAGAAGGAAGCTTGGCGTTGGGTCATTCATTGTCAGATTTAGAGCTCCAATGGATTCTCTCTGCTCTTTCCACATGGAATACTTGAGAAAGACTGAGTTTCTATAACATAAAGAGCATAATCTAAGGTTTGTCATTGCTGGGCAAAGTCAGCATGGCCAGTGATACTGAGCAGGGAGGGTTGCTCCGGCATATAAGCACAGAGTCAGGAGTCTAAGATCAAGGTCCAGATTGAGTGGGTTTATTGTGGTGCAGGGAGAGAGGAGAAGCCAATACCCCGTGTAAGTATCGGAGCTGGGTCAGACAGCTCTGAATCCATGACTGGCTCAGTGGGCTGACAGTTCTCCCCGGGGTGGAGGTGTTGGTCCTAGTTTGGGATGAGCATTGCATCATCTTCTTTCTTGGGTCATGTTAAACAGAGGATTGAGGGAGCCCTTTATCCAGGGTGCATGAGGTCTGTCTGTAATGCCCAGGGCCCTTGAGGTGAAAAGTCAGTCATGTTCCCTTCAGCTAGATGGAGGGAGCAGGGAGGTGCCCCATTCTGTGGATGCCGCGTCTGGTTGTCCTCTCAGCCCCTCTGCTGTTTTCTTAACCTCCCTGCTCCCCCAGTTCACTTGCTGGATCCCAGCTCTGCGTCTTCCTTTCTCTTCTTATCGCCACCACCCTAGTTGGGGTCCTCATTACCTTCCCCTTCCTGGTCTTGGGATTTAGAACCAAAGGAAGCCATGGCGATGGTCTAGTCAATCCCTCGGTCCTCTTTGAGATGAGCTGGCGGAAGCGCGGAGAGCCACACAGGCAGGAAGAAGCAGATCAGGATTTGAATTTGGCTTCTCCCTTGACCCCAAATCCCAGGCCCTTCCCTATCTCCCCCCCCCCCCCCCCCCCCCCCCCCCCCCCCCCCCCCCCCCCC